AGAAATACTCAAGCTGTAGAAAGTAGTTACAAAGAAGTGTCATTAATATTCAAAATCTAAAGTAAGAAATAGGCTAATAAGTATTTTCACGTGCTTGATAAATATAAGAAAGAGTTAAGAATTTTTAGTAACCTTTTAACATCATACAAAACTTAAAATTTCATCAATTATTCTTTTACGGACACACGTCTTTTAAAAGTTATTTTTATTCAGTATATTTCAGGAATATCCATGGAAGCATTATTTTCTGTTGAACCCGCCCGTTTTAAGCAGATCGCTTTTCCATGAACGTATTTTTATATGCTACATGTATTTATATTATTCAATTCACTTACATTTAATATGTATATCCTAAAGACATGCATAGCAAAATTTGATCTATTACACCAGTATTAAGTTTCTTTCTGAAATGAGACACCCCCCCCCCCCCCGAAAAAAATCCGTCAAATCGATTAAAATTGGTACATCAAATTCCAGTCATTTGTTCTTTTTTTCATCATCTTCGCTTTTCTATTATTTCCTTTAAAATAGAAATTTACCAAAAAATCGGCATGCGATGATAATCCGTAAAACTTATGAATTATGTTTTATCGAATACAGCCCGAGTAATTAATAATAGTTCTATGACAGGGAAAGAATTTACGACTTTGTAATATTAAAATATAACCAAAATTGTTGTTATATGTAAACTGGAATAGAGTAGTCAGATCAATACACTGTGTTACCGACGAAAGATTAACCTGTTTCACCTTTCAACAGTAACCAATGAACTCGTCCGTTGACGGTTGTGGGAAATTCTACGAAAAGGAAAAGCAATCGTCGGTAACCAACGGGTGAATCACGTCGAATTTCTCTATCTTGTGGACTGGTTTTGATAATTTGAAATTTTGTTTTTGTTTCATTGATACCTAACAAACGTGTGAATATGTATTCAATATGCCCGGAATAGGTACTCAGAATAATCACCGTGTGTGTTGTGTGTGTGTGTTTAAATAATTGATGTGTAAAGTTTTTTTTTCATAAATAGATAAATTATTCAGTATGCTAACTATGCTTTCAAGTAAACATCATCTGTCTCCCTCAGCCGCGCTTACTCTTTCCTCGCATATTTAATAAGGCCACCTAAAAAATAATATTCGTTGGACTTCTCCTCACTCAAAATGAAATCGAAGTACCGATATTCTTCACTGTCAACCGGAACTAATCCATTTACTAAATAACAATGAAATGTAATGATTCATTGATATATCTCGTAATAAATGTATAATTTTGGTTACAGATTCTGATACCCTAAAAGAATATGAAGCAGTGAATGAAAGAATGGGATTGTCTTGTAGAGTTTTAAAAAAACGATCGAATTTATGTTATACTAGATGGCATCGACTAAGATTAAAAACCTAAGGTAATCTCTCTCTCTCTCTCGATATTAGGTAATCTTTATATATAACGGACTCTTAGATCTGTTATCATGACACAGAGAAAAGATAGGACTGGACAAATATTTCCTCATATTAAACAATACAAGTTTTTAAAGAAAAATCTGCCAAATCAAGTCTCATTGTCATAATATAATAATAGGAAGTGGTGCCATATAAATCTATGCTTTGATTTTTAAAACATATTAACAAATTACGTTCATATGAAAAATGATTGGTCTTTGTGAGGTAAAGCATTTCAACGCATCATGTAATTAATCTACAGTGTATTTCATACCCTATAAATGGAATTCGTTACAGGAACTATTATACAAAGTGACTTTACGCCCTAAAGTGGTAAAGAAACAATATTAAACTGCTATTTCTATTGACTTCTTCAAAATTGTCAAATGGACGATTTTTTACGCAGCAACTGGTTCACTAAGATGTCATAATTCTTTTCTTCTGCTGTAATAAAGCTTTCATTTTGTCAATTGAATGAGGATATTTGAAATAATAATCTGCCTGAGAATTATAATTTTATACGCTCATCTTAAGGCAGGGCATATTTTGTTATGGCGTTCATGTTTGTCCATATGTCTGTCTGTTTACTTTTTCGTGTCCGGCTCATAATTTTTATACTATGAGCATAAAATTAACAAACTTTGTCAGCTGGTACATCTTGTGTAAAAGGTGTGTTTCACTCTAAAAATAGGTCATTGTGACCTTTAATTAAGATGTTATTGTCAAGAAAGGGGAAAATCCTGTCCGTCTCATTACTAGATAACTATTAGACCAAGAACCGTAATACATGTACTCGACCATTTGATGCATCTTAAATAGAGGGTTTGTCGCATCCTATTTAAAGGGCACTTTGACCTTCATTTAAGGCAAAATTTAAATATATATATATGTATGTCTTTACATTTTAAATTATACAGTCCAAAAAGATGTAAGAATATTGCAGATATTTAAAAAATGTTTCATCAAGAAAATACACAGTTTTTTCTCATTGCTAACTTTACAACAATTTTTAACAAATATAATAATGTTTTGTTTGTGTCAAAAACGAGAGAGAAATTCCACATTGGTGTAATTATCAAGCAGTAGTCAAGAAGAATTTTAATAACAAATTAGATGTTGAATTAGAGATAAATTAATGAGTTTCCTGTGAGGAATTAACTGGTAGAGCATCTCTGATCAGGCAGATGTTATCTAGATCTCTTGGGAATTAAGCAAAGGAATTTAATTGCTCAGTCTTGGATAAAATTATCCTTTTGTCTAGCCTCTTTCAAAATAAATCCGGTATAAAGTAATGAAAACTAATTTGAAATTGTACAATGTGAATTTTTTTTAATATTGTCCAGCAAATGACAATGGTATTAATTGCTTAGATAAAGACTTTTTGCAATACACAAAGTCTGGAAAAGGGAACAAATCTGATGGCAATTATGGCTGCTTAACGTCTATGAGAAATATTTGGGGGGGGGATATCCTGCAGGGTCTTGGTTTACTCATCTCTGGGACTTGTCCTAACCTCTTTTATTGGATATGTTTCCATTAGGAAGTACTGGCTCATTTTGCCACATTTTTAGAAAAAAATAAAGATACCAAAATGCAGTTTATTATTCATAGTTCTTACCTTTTTTTTAAGTATCTGAGGTCAAATTTCATGTTTACCCCATCACACTTCTCTGCCTAAATCTGTCCAGTATTATGCACAAATGTAATAAATTTGTTTGGTGAATGTAAAAATTCAATTAATGGTTTATTTGACAATATATAGAAAAAATATCAAAGAATATGAATTTTACCACTCAAATGATGTATATTTTTTACAGGGTATTACAGAAGAGGAATAGAATATTACACTGTGGCAGTTGTTGAATACTTGGGAGTAATAGAGAAGAACAAGTAAACCTACTGCAAGACTTTTTTAGGAAAACTCGATGAACAATTTATGTCTAATATTAATATGAATTTATTAATACTAAACTAAAAAGACACACAGAAAATTGCCAAAATTTCTTTAAATTTATCTGAATTGCCTTCTCTTAGCTCTCTAACAACCACTTGTTAAAGATATTTACTTTTTATATTACCGGTATAATTTAAGCAATGGGCGTTTAAGACTTGCAAATAAATCTTTTTTCAGACTTATTTTCTTAGCAAGTAACTGTTATCACATGTTATAAACATATAAATTTAATAATGAATTTCTTATCAAACTGTTGTTAAAAAGTTGTTTTCCTTTAAAGTTTTCTGAATTAACTTCCCTTGTTATTCTAACAACTAGTTGCTAAGACATTTTCAGGAAGCTATCTAAGATATTCTTAATTAGCAATTGTTAAGGTTAAGACTTTCTAGAAGCTATTTAAGATTTTCTTAACAAGCAGTTGTTAGGGTTTAGACTTATTCAGGAATCTACGATATTCTTAACAACCATTTATTAGGGTTTTAAAAGAATTGCATTAATTGAAACATAGCTTTCTTAACAAGCAGTTTTTAAGAAAATATCTTGAACATACTCCTAATCTTTTTATTAAAAAGTTAAATTAAGACATTTTTCCCAATGTTTCCTGAGTTGTCTAGCCTTGGTCCTCTAACAACTAGTTGTTAAGAAAAGAATATTTCATTAAACCTGTATGTGCTATATTTGCTTAATAATTTTAATTGATTGTCAATTGTCAATTTTTATCCCGGTTTTCTAGCAAATTTTAAAAGGATTCCATGGACCTACTTCTAGCACCCTTAACAAGCAGTTGTTAAGACTTTATTCCGTTTGACTTCCTTTCCATTTCTAACAACCAGTTGTTAAGAATATATCTTGTGAAATTCTTTTGGTATTCTTAACAAGCAGTTGTTAAGACTTTATTCCGTTTGACTTCCTTTCCATTTCTAACAACCAGTTGTTAAGAATATATCTTGTGAAATTCTTTTGGTATTCTTAACAAGCAGTTGTTAAGACTTTATTCTGTTTGTCTTCCATTGCATTTCTAACAACCAGTTGTTAAGAATATATCTTGTGAAATTCTTTTGGTATTCTTAACAAGCAGTTGTTAAGACTTTATTCTGTTTGACTTCTTATCCATTCCTAACAACCAGTTGTTAAGAATATACCTTGTGAAATTCTTTTGGTATTCTTAACAAGCAGTTGTTAAGACTTTATTCCGTTTGACTTCCTTTCCATTCCTAACAACCAGTTGTTAAGAATATACCTTGTGAAATTCTTTTGGTATTCTTAACAAGCAATTGTTAAGACTTTATTCTGTTTGTCTTCCATTGCATTTCTAACAACCAGTTGTTAAGAATATATCTTGTGGAATTCTTTGGGTAGTCTTAACAAACAGTTGTTAAAACTCTGTATAAAAGTGTAACAGTTTTACTTAATTTTATTTAACAAGCAATTACTTAAGAATTCCTTCAGCTTATTTTTCGTGTTCTTAACAAACAGTTGTTAAGACATGCCAGATATATAATGGTTTCTTTATCAAGCATTTGGTAAGAATTGGAAAATAAAGTGTTTAAAGTATGCATAGATTTCAGTTGTCTTTTTTGTACTTAACAACCATACAGAGCTTTTGATCAAATGGAATTGATCAAGTTAAAATGGAAGGTGTTACAGAAATTTGCGCACTGAATGCCATCCGTGAAAGCTTCTAAGCATTTTTCACATTCCTCTTTGCTTTTCTTTACAGCTTTGGACATTTTTGTTAGATAATCATTCTTTAAGCATTGCAGGTGATCAATAGCATCGTTGAAGGTTTTTTCAGTGTTCTCCGTACTGCGATCTGCACTGGCGTCTAGTTGTATGACAAACCTTTCTTGCTCCCATTTTGCATCAGATAATTTGTTTTCTAGAATTTGCACATCCTCCAATAATTTATCAGCCTTATCATTCAGTAATTTCCTTACAGTTTCTGCAGTTTTGTCCACGGTGTCAAAACTGTCACATTTCCTATGTTCCAAGCTAACACACATCGTGCAGCACAGCTTTTCGTGATCATTACAGAATAACTCTAACTTCTTATCTCCATGTTTTGCACAAATGTTCTCATGGACAGCTTTTGGTGTAAGATTCATCCCATTCATCTCTTTCAGTGGAATTATCACGTGATCACGCGTTGTCAAACCTCTTCTATGACTTTTTGTACATATTTTGCACAACTGTTCCACGCAGTATAAACAAAAATCGGTCGCATTCTCCTCTTCGTTCTCCCGCAAACATGCCTGACAAAATGTAATTTCTGAATTAACTGATAATTTTTCCAAAACATCATTCTCAGGAAAAAGTTCCGCCCACTCCTCAGGCCTATTAGTTTGGCCAATACAAGGAATGTAAGTACGACATAATGGGCAATTAAAACCCAGACGAGGTTCCGTAGCCTTGCACGCGCTAAGGATATTGGATGATAAACAACCATGACAAAACGAATGTGTGCATGGTAGATAACGCGGAATTTTGAACTTTTCAAAACAGATTGAACACACTGTCATTTCGTCGAAGTTGATACCCGAAGCCATCACTTAACACCCTGCAATCATGTAGCTTTTTTTCACAACGAGGCAAATGCAAACGTTCCTTCACTTTGGAAAGCTGTTCATGTATTAAGTACACTGTAAAAATTGTGTTTAGGAAATAAACACTTCTATTACATGTTTAGATCTAAACGTGTTTAGTATTGTGTTTAACAACTAAACACTTATGTCTAAAGATGTTTTATATCTAAACGCGTTTAGAAATTAAACACGTTTTACTGTAAAGTACAGAGTTATCGTCCCGGAAATGACACACCTATATTTGAATGTTAATTTGAGCGGCTATGTAAACAAAGAAAACGCAACAAGCTATGGTGATGTATCAATGAGAGTTATGACAACCCAATTCAAGGGATAACCATGATGAAATAGTGAAATACGTGAAAGGGCATCTTGTTGCTGCAATACATTAAAGGTTTGTTTTCTTCTTCTTTGCATTAATTAACCACGATGAGCAACGCAAATAAAGTTGACTTGGGATATTTTGAATTCGTTCATAGACTTGAAGGAGAAGAAATAATATTAAATGTCATTAAAAACATCTATATTTATATCTGTGTAGTTTCACTAAAATTTGAAGTTTTGTTTTTCTAAGTAATGTAAAATATCAGTGATAGTGTACTTTTTCTAAAATCTGGCTTTCTTTCCTACAGGCACCGTACGTAGTCCAGATCGAACTCAAAATACACGTATCAGAGTACCTGGTCTCATCTTCAAGTGCAATGTTGTTGTTCCATAATCAACACTTTGAAACTTCATTTGTTGAAGACTACTGTGCTAATTCGACAGTGTTTACAATTATCCTCGTGCATTCGAAATGGGTTACTTTCTGGCAGTTATTGATGGGATATAGATTATAATATGAGGTGCTTTGGGACTTGCTGAAAGTTCATAAAATTTGATATTTTGTTATTGACATGAGGAAAACTCTGCAGCCGATTCAAAATATAATGATTATAATAAATATATACATGTATATAAATATATATTTTGTATTTTTAGTTTAACAATTCTGTAATAAAGCCTTTTAGAAATATTCAATGAAGTTTTGATATTAAATTGTTAGCTTAATATTATTTTCTTAATAATTTTGAAGATTAAAAGTTTGTTATCTATGTGTACGTTATAAATTATGTGTCATTCTGATTGAATTGTTGAGACTAATCAAATCTATTCAGTTCTATCTCCTACATTATTTGTGTAAATTAAGTACATGTACATCGCACAGTGACCATTGCATTGTATAATTAAATACATATCCCAACGTTCAATGGCTTTATGGAAAATAATTAATATTGGTTACATATTTTGAAAATTTTGACAATTATGCGCATTTAAAAAAACATATGCTTTTTCTGCAGGTACAAATTAAACTTATGATGTGTTTAGATTTTAAACACATCTGCTGTTATGTGTTTAGAATTTAAACACTTGTGTTTATGTGTTTAGATATGTTTAAATTCTAAACACTTTCTAAGACATGTTTAGGAATTTTACATGTTTAGAAATTAAACATATAAAAAAGGAGGTGACAAGAAAGTGTTTAGAAAAGTGTTTGAATTGTAAACACATTTTTTACAGTGTATAGACTTGGTGAACATACTTGCCCAAAGTATTACACAAGCATTATAATATTTGAAATACGATTTTGTAATTGTAAGTCCGTAATGAGCGCTGTTATTTCAAATGCATGCGTTTTACCTTTTCTTGTCTTTCATAAAGATATAACATTATATAATTATTGCATGCAGTTGAGTGTAACATTGAAAATTTTCACCCCAAGAAAACCATTTTCGAGGGGTGAAAATTTTTAATGTTACACCCAACTACAATATTTATTATATTATACTGAATGTTTATACAAATACACATAACAGTAACCTTGCGCGCATAAATTCTATTTTTGGAACATCACCCGTCGTAAAGCAATGTTAACTGTTGCTACGCTGGAGGGCGTGGCTTCATCATTCAGCGGGTAAAAGTGTTTTTCAACAAATGTTTCTCCACGAATCAGATTCAACTAATTTACATGAAAGTATAATTATTCTGGAATATCGTAAGACTCCTTTGAAGATTGAATTCACGGAAAGTAATTAATGCTTGATATAAATATTAAGTTAAGAAAGGTCAATCATTTTAATGTTTGTAATTAAAAAAAAATTAAGTTTGCAATCCTGTATACATATACATATGATTACTAAGTATCTAACATTTCATTTCTTTAAGGAAAAAATTGAAGATCAGAAACATTGATCAAATTCATAACGTTTGTAAAGTGTAGCAGATAGTATATATGGAACTTATTCTGCCTCGCTAGTGAACTAGCTTTTTTGATTGGTGAGGTATTAAAGGCTAGAAATTTTTGGTATTTATGTGTAATATTCATCAAATTAAGAAATTAAATCTTTCAAGGTTATTCAATTTATTACTTTTAGTACGCATATCTATAGCTAAATAAATGTCTTGTCAATCGCACCAAACGCATCAAGGATATTAATTATTATCAGCTAGATCTGAGCTTCAGATCTCTGAAATAAATAATATAAACCAGCGCAATATTTCTTTAACAAGGTGTACAATTCTGTTCTGATATGCATATGTACATGACATGTATCATGCTTTGTTTCTACTGGTGGTGGGGGTGTTCAGGCAAAATAACGGATAGTTCGCACTCGCTACAAATTCAGTGTCCTCAGAATAAACCTATGCATCATTAGTGACTGTTTAAATGTTGGCCGACATCAGGATGAAATACTCAGAACACGCGTTCCCATACTATATAGGATTCGCTTCCTGTTCGACTGTTTCTAAACATACGATTTGATTTCAACGTATTCAAACTATGGCAACGCCGCTAAAAGACATTCCAATCGTTGAGGATGTGACTCTTTGCTCAATATGCTTCGAGAAGTTTAAAAAACCCAGGTACCTTCCTTGTTCTCATTCGTTTTGTCAAAGTTGTTTATCGTCCTATATTGTCAGCATTTGCGCGTCTACGGAACCACGTTTGGGATTTAACTGTCCATTATGCCGTGAGTACATTCCTTGTAAAGGCACTTTTGATAAGCCCGAAGAATTGGTAAACTTGTTCCCTGTGAATAACCTTTTGGAAAAAATTATTGAGAAAGGCGATCAGCTGAATTGCGAGTCCTGTCTTAGGGATAACGAGGAAGAAGAAGCTTCCGCCTATTGTGCCACGTGTATGGAAAATTTATGTCAAGTTTGTACAAAATGTCATAAGAAAGGTTTGGTCACGAAGGACCATAGACTGTACCTTCTCAGTGAAATAAAGTCATCAAGCATTGTTCCCGAATCGGTTTCAAACTTAACCTGTTCAAATCACAAAAACAGAGAGATAGAATTATTTTGCAACGATCACGAAAAACTATGCTGTACAATGTGTGTAAGCACGGAGCACAGAAAATGTGAAAGTGTTGATACTGTTGAAATAGCTGCATCAAATTTAAGAGAAAGTGGTAAACTTGGCGGTCTGTTAAATGACGTGAGGAATCTGGAGAAGAAACTCATAGGTTCCAAGGCTAGGCAAGAGAAAAACGTTACTGAAATAGAAGATACTGTGGATGACATCACGGAAAAAGCAGAAAAGGAGTTCAATACTATAGTTGATCATTTGGAGAAGCTTAAAAATGAGCTTTTACAAGACATTTCTGTAATAGGAAAACAAAATAAAGAAAAATTAAGGAAAAGTATAGAGATTGTTGCTGACGGAGTTCAATGTTCAAAGTCTTGTGGTGATAAGATTGAAAGAGCCATTGTGAAGGGTGGTGATGTTGAATTATTGATGGAATATTACTCAGCAAGGGCCACTCAAGACCAGATGAATTGTTTTCATTTTAAAGAGAAAAATATCAGCATATTAGAAAATAGATCCGAATTGTTGAAACAAATTAAAGACTTGAAAAGTCTATCACAGATAGAAACCCTTGAATTTGAACCAGATGTCTTTCCTGGGTACGAAAAGGAACTGTCTTTGAAAAGAGAATTTAGCCCGTCCAATGTTAATATTTGCAGCGGAACTTTTCTTTCAAATGGTTCATTTATTGTTGCAAATCATCTCTCAAATGGTGGGTGTAATATTTATGATAATGGTTTGACATGCATAAAAACTATTGCAGGACTTAGTGATCCTTTTGCAGCAGCTGAATATGGAACTGAGTTGTTTATTACTTGCCTTGGCACAAAATCTATTAAGGTTTTCTCTTCTTCTGATTACTCAGAAAAAAGAAGCATTAAATTAAATATTGACGTTTATGGAATAACTTGCAGAAATGGGGTGTTCTATTTGGCATGTGGAGACAAAATTATAAAGATCGATTCAAGTGGGGAAAGACTTAAAGAATACAAAACAGGGAAACGTGTTGTACACCTTCTTGGGTTGAATCGTGTTAATCTTATATACAGCAACAAGGAAAAGCACACAGTTACTGCGATAAATGAAGAGGGTGATGCTCTTTGGGAATACAAAGCATCTAATCTGAAACTTCCATATGGACTAGAAAGGGATAGTGATGATAACATTTTTGTTGCTGGTACAGAGAGTGAAAACATCCACATACTGTCCTACACTGGAGAGGCTATTAGAATTTTCGATTGTGTGCAGAAACCAATCTTTTTAGCCATAAATAAACAGATGCAGGTTTACTATGTTTGTAGTGAATATAAGAAAATTAAGGTTTATGAATTGAAATAAAGCTATAAAAACTTTATGAAGTTGTCAAAAACTGTTTGACTTAACGTTTTTTTTTTTCAAGTAAGATATATTCTGTGTACAAAATAACGAATTAAAATGCTCATTGCAATAGCAGAATTTTAACCAAAAAAACTAGACCCTTTTATCAACAAGTATTCGGAGACAAAATGATATAAAATGCTCTTTGCCATAGAATAAACACTCAATTACTTCATTGACTGATAAGGGTGATATTCTACGGGAATACAAAGCATCCAATCAAAAACAACTATATGGATTAGAAAAGAATAATGTTGAAAATATATTTGTTGCTGGTACAAAGATAACAAGCTAATTCAGAGGATTTGCTTAAGGAAAAAAGAAGAGGGTGGAAGAAATGGAAAAAAAAAAAACAAAAAAAAACTTGCAAATTGAGGAAGAAAAAGGTCAACCTTGACCTTACAAATTTTGTCCTTAAGACCACATAAATTTAAAGTGTAGATTTTCATCCTAATTTTTTTTTCTATTACTGTAAACACCTAAATAGCAATCTTCTAATACATTTTTTTTCATTGTAAATAGCAATACGGATATATAGATTTGATTTCTTATTCTTTGAAATGGTACAGAAGATTCTTTTTTTATATGAAATATTTATCACACTGTAATAATGATTTTATGAAAACGTTTGTTCACGACACCTATAACAGCTTGTATGAGATTGGGCGCGGATCCAAATACTTCGTGCATATTGGTGCTTTACGAGTTATTCATCACTTCTCATTGGCCTTTTTCTAAATATTTATTTTTCGTTTGACCAACAAATACTTGTTTTGTCTGAAAATATCAGATTTCCACTGTCCTTATAACGTCCAAGATTCGTTCTTGACCCATTCAATATTGACAAAATATTACACAACACATGGTGCCTAATTTAGCCTTTACTAAACAGCTCAAATGTTATCATGTAAAGTCCGCCGACAACCTCTGATATATGTAATAAACTAAATTATTACATTTTCAACAGTGAAATACTGCATGTAATTTATTTACTGAATAAAAGTGATATTCTGACACATTGTGAAAGGATATCAAAATGGTATTCTCACAGTGTGAGAATATCAGAAGTGCGGCAAAACTTACGATTTTCCTTCTCTTCATGAAAAGTGCTTTTAAAAAAAATTCCCGGCCTGTTATAAGATAGAGTTAATGAGCCATCATGACAGAGACTAATAGTTATACTGCCGAAGTTTTTCCAAATATGTCGTTAAAAATCCATGCTTACAACGTTTTTCAATCTCGCAATCACTTAATCAGACGTTTCAACCGCTCAACTATGACGTCTCAGCCTATGTAACACACTGTATTACGAAAAGACAGAGGTAAAGGGAAATCTAAGAAAATGTAATAAACAGGAAATTTTCAGAAAAACACTCGTGAGACAGGTTTTTTCCTTATATTTTCACTCGTGCTTCGCACTCATGAAAATATCAAACAATCCGTCCTGTCCCACTCGTGAAATAAATTCCAACATCATCTACAAAACATTGAATATCCTCTATCTCTTGCTCCTGTGCTAAAAATATTGCCACGAGACTTTTAATATAAACAGAGAGTAACTCTTTAACTTTTACCGTGATCGATGCCAACAAAACTTCCAGTTGACATTTGATGACGTTTCGTCGATGGAACAACTTGACCATTTAAAAAAAACAACAACAACAACAAAAAAAAAAAAACAACAAAAAACAAAAAAACGGGCGGGACACTTTGGGAGGGGCGGGCGGGGTCATAGGGTGTTGTGTTGTAAAATTTTATTGCAAACGACTCAAACGCTTCTTGAAATATTGTCCGGAAACGAAAGTGTTACAGATAGAATGTATGAATTTATGACCTTGACTTTGATCTCAAAATCAATAGGGTATTCTTGAGGCCATTGGGAGTTATGATATAAAATTTCATTGCAAAAGCTTAAAGGCTTCTTAAGATATCGTCTGGAAAGGGAAGTGTTACATAGAAATAAAGACAACTAGAATGCAGCTAGACGGACAGACAAACAGACCCTAAGAACCATAGCACATTTGATAGGCATTTTCGCCTAATCTAGTATTGATTTCTTAAATACATTTTTAGACCAAATTTTGTCATACAATCTTAGGTTACACATGAGTGAAATCAAATTACACAATTATAATATTTAAATGTTAATAGTTCCCTTATATGATAAATATAAAAATGATCCAGTTTGTACGGAGTACGAGATATAGTAAATATAGAGGTATCCACCTATATGATGACAAACTGTTGCCGAACACCACCCTTTACCAGAAAAAAAGAACAATTTTTTAATAATTTGGATATGATTGCACTTCATTACATTTAGATAATTTTGGTTAAAGGTGATCGTAATAATAATGAAAATGATGAAAATACGTATTTATTTTTTCTTCTCATATTATATCTTAAAGATTTAGTAATCTGTCTTAAATTTATTTGACATCAGTGACTTTATGACGCAGTGGTATGATCGCTGAAATGTAAATGAGGTGATTCAGAGTTCGAGCCCAACATTTTCCATTTGTGCCTTTTTAATTTTTTCTTTGTGTATCTTTTCTTTATTATGTTTCATAATAACATAATTTCAAAAATGTTATAATATACATATTACATTTCGAAAGAGACAGTCCAAAACTACATGTATTTCATTAAATTTTGCAAATTCATATCTACTTGTTTTATTTTATTGATTTTCTAAATCTTTTGTCTCAAAATAAGAGTATTGAACATGTAAACCGATTGTCAGGTGACATATTTACAACTAGAAAATATAAACTAGTCCACATATGATTAAACATACATACATGTAGGTTGATTTTCAATTGAAAAGGTATATCCATAAATAGAAACAGGTGATTTGATTTTCCTTTTAAAGTTTCGTCGGTAAGGCAACTATGATTCTTTATACCCCACTCTCTACATTCGTATCTGAGAGAGGAAGGAACGACAACTCTGCAAAGGAGAGTGTTTATATCCCTTTCAGGGGACGCGGGGACAAAAACATACATGTATTGACTTACAGAGTATTCAGTAATGTGGAGAAACCTATCTTTTTGGAAATCGATAAACAGAAGCATATTTGCGGTGTATGAAGGGAATATAAGAACATCAACAGCGTGATCAAGGTTTACGCCCTGAAAACTTTACATGTATGCATGTATAGCGATGAGTAGTCTGTATAATATGAAATGATCACCAAGTTTTATTATGTTATAATTATATAATTTGTTTGTATGTTTATTCAGGAAATGGCACATAGAACATAAGATGACACATGACATCTAGACAAATTATAAAATACAAGTTAAAATTACATAGTAAGTAATCATAAATAACTTCGTACGTTTGCTTTGGAAATATCTCAACTTCCTTTTATTACAGCATTAAAAGCTGATGTCTTTATTTTGTACACACTGTTGAGATTTTTAATTGAAACATTAAGATTTTTTTTTCCTTCGCCTATTTTCTATATATAGAAAATAGTATGCATCTTCTGCATTGCTAAAATTTTAAGTAATGTTCATGAGGCCATTACTAATTTACTCCTAGTCTTTGTCTAATTTAACATTAATTACAGTACTGTTATGGAAAGTAAATGTTTATAGAAAAATACCTATATATAAAATAAATCAAGTATGTTTCACTTGAAGGTCAGTATTGCTTGCTTAACATAAAACGTGCCTTACTAAATGAAGACATCGAAATACGTCCTTATTTTTGACGTGCATTTTGAACATTAGTAAATTGCAATATCAAGTTCTGTGAAAATCGTTGTTATACAAAGTCAATGTTTATAAGACCTTGTGTAAACATTCGCCTCTGTTACGCTTCTAAATACATGTACAGTGGAACCTCACTATCTCGAACATGCAATAGATATGTCGAAGTGAGTAATATCAATCGTATTTTCTTTCTCATAGATCTTAATTTCAATATCTCCAATCCTCACATATTTTGAAGTTTTTTCCCACTGCCAATAAAGTTTGGGACAACAAGGTTTGACCCTACTTTAACAACCAGTTATTATATAGATAAGAAAATCACTGCCTTTATTAGTTTTATTGTCATAAACAATGATGAAGCAAAACACTTTAAACAATATTGTGTAAAATATACATGTATTCATTAATCATTTATTAAGAAATAAGTCAGTGTAAATCAAGTTTTGTTTCTACAGTAACATCTACCACCTTCGAAGGCAATTAAATAAATGCACTGTTGTACACTTAGAAGTAACTGAGCACTGGAATTCGTTTATATGAATTCGGATAGGGCATATTTTCTGACATTTTTTACAGATTCAATAATTCCAGAAATGCACATTTGGTCTAGTTTTCCCCCTACAATAAGATCACATCCCTCTTTTACAAGCAAAACACCGAAAAGCAGTGTACAAATGCACATCTTATATCTTGAATGATGAAATTTACATGTAATTCTAGGGATATCGGTATAATTTTGCGTAAATATATTAATACTTCGATGTTTACAAAAGAAAAAAAGAAGAAGAAAAACACTTTTTGTACTCACAAACACAAAATAATGATAATTTTTTTTTCTGGTCAATATTTTGATTGTAGTTCAATTATATAAAAGATAAAAATTGCATAAAATGTTTTCCATGATAAATTCATGAAATCAAGTTCCAACTTCATACTTTCGTGGAAAAGACTGAAATTAATGTACATGTAAGAATAAAGAAAAATATGACATCTTAACTAATATAAAAATCTATTCTTTGAATACGGATAAAATCAATGTTTAAGATAGAGGAATGAAAAATGAGGAAATTATCAAGATTTTTAGAAATTGATACTCCACTTTGCTACAGATATTTTGCTAATTGACTAATTGAGACAGATCTAATATTACAGAAAGAGATTCTGTTACATGTAGTAATATATTACAGTTTCTTATGTAAAGTACAATTAAAACCTTTATAGTGAACAGTGATATATAGAGAATAATATTTTATTCTGAAGTTAAAAAAAAATTCACAAACAGTTATAAATATCTTTGCTACAAGTGAATTTATTGAAATGCCAGCTAGATAAAACAGATTATAGTTTACAATATAGCTACTTTTTAGGTTAATTTGTTGACCATACAGAAGCAGAACTTACATAAGTAAATTACTATAAATGAAAAAGACAAAACAAATTTGAAGAATCTGTAAATATTATTCATTGAAAAAAGTTTAAGCACTTTTTAATGTATCACCAAAAATAATTGTTTACCTTTTAGAAACATCATAAATATAGGAATAAAGTCCTGTGTATAGGTGTCATAACAATATCTCATCAAAATTACTAGATGATAGTAAAAATTCAGGGTGTATTTTGTTCCAGACCTGTTTACCCATTGTTGTTGTTTCTCAGTATTTTTCGTTAGATTTGTCAGTGAGATTTGGCATTTTTCAGTAAGATATTACTTTCCATCCATTTTACATATATTATTAGAGAACAACTACATTTCTGATTACCAAAACTTGGTAACACCCTGACATCACTTAATTGTTTGAAATCTTTCTCTTTTTTTAGCATTCGGAGACAGATCATATCGAAAACTAACTGCTTAAATCGAAAGAACGGATTTCCGATTTCGGTATTCATAATAGCAAAACGTGAGACGTATTTTGGATTTAAAATCCGTACAAAATACGGCAAAATCGTATGAGTAAACAGGTCTGTTGTTGTCAAAGTATAAAAGTTTGAGGAAAAAGAGCTGAAGACAAAACTATGATGCTGATATGATCTTATGGTACAAAAACTCAGTTGATCACAATATCTACATTTCTATCTTTTTAAACATGTGAAAAAAGTATCTTAACAATTTGATATTAATTTTATTCTGACTCTGCATGCTTTAAAAAAGTGCTTCAATCAAAATTCTATATTTCTACATTGTAAACCTGACAAAAGCCACATTTTCTAACTGTGACAACTACTAGAAATGCCCAAAATATATCACCATTAGCTTGAACACGTTTAAAATGAACCTGCAAATCAAATTGTCATAGCTTTCCTAACTAAACTGCATTGATTTAAATTAATTGGAAGCCTTGATCACCATCATTCAGACAAGCAAAGGACAAGCTGAAATAATTTTATAATACTAACCTGATGTTGAAAATCAGAACTACTGTATACAGGGAAATTTTCACCCTCGTCTGAAGTGGAGCAAATTCAAAGTAAACAGTATTATGTCTTAAACAAATCTGTTTCTGGGCGAATTTAAAACGACTGGCAAAATTGTTTGCAAATGTGAAAGGGCGAAAACAACACGGAGCGAAAATAACCCTGTATACAGTATATTTAGATAATATATTGGTGCAAAATTAATTTAAAAATTGCAAGTAAATACACATATACATGACTGCATGTATGTTATATTTTCATATTCATGATCATTTCATGTACAATGTGAATTCTCTATAGTGAAAAAAATATTCCGATGAACACTTAAGGAGAAACTCTGACAGAGGATAAGTGAATTACTGTCTGTATATCTTGATGGCTTGCTTTAATTGTTTTGATCGACTGTTGTCAGACTATTTCACTGTCTGTCCATAATAAGACATAAAAATTGTGCTTATATACACTGTACAGCACTGGTCTTTTAAAAAATACTGTTTTAAAAAAGCACATTACCAGTGTATAAAACTATATACAGTGTATAATCATATAAATCACAGGTTAAGTACAATGTAGCACTGCTTACACAACCAACTACTGCAGCTTGTGTTATATGTAATTACAGTTGAACTTCAGTATCTCGAACACTGATATCTTGATACCATGGATATATGTTATACAGAATTGGGAGTCCCAATCATTTGTTCTTTTATTTTTTTTAACAATAGATATCTCGAATTCTCAATCCCTTCTAGTTTAAGATATCAGGGTTTGACTGTATTTTGAAATGCTGTGGTCATGTGTGTGGGTTATACAGATACATGCAGCTTTACTGAAATTGAAACCAGTGTTATTGTCATATTGATACATTATTACAATTCCTAAATGTCTCAGTGATTTGAAATTCTCAAACACTTTTTCTCCAATGCATATTTTCACCTTATTAACTTGTCTCCCTGGTTATCTCATAATTCATTCCTTTGCATGCTGACTTTAAAATAACAAGATTGGACTGTATTTCTGAAAGGTTTCTAAATTTTTTTTCCGCAGAACACATCTGGGGACTTTAGCACTAAAAGGTGTTTATATGTATTGTGTTACTTTACTGGAATGACTGATTCTGAGCAATACATAAACACATGCTTCTTATTTGATAAAAATGAATGATACATAAAAATATTACTATGAATAACAAAAATAGGCATCTGCACTTTCCAAATGCAGTAATAAACATCTTAAAATAAAAAAAAGAAACAGATTTAAAAACTATACAAAAAGTATATGGAATGCATATGAATATATTTAAACAATACATGTGTATCAAATGTTCTACAAATGAACAATTGATTTTTTTGAATTTTGTCATATTGTGTGCAAGATCAACCTGGCACTTGGAATCACTCATCATTTGATGTTGATTTTATGTAACATAAATCAAACCATTCTCATGTAGCCTAATCCCATTTCTTATATCATGCCATCTAAAACTTTCAGCTGTATTGTAGAGTTAGTTCACCCAGTATTCACTGAAGCCATTTTTAATTTTATAATTACTACACTCAGTGTTAACTAATCTATGTAATTGCACAGATTCCAAAAAATATCAAGTAACACTCAACAGCTCGACATATTTTTTCCATGACATGACTACTCAAATAAATGCTATATAGTGTCATTTTAAAATGATTGTCCCTTTTTTCTGCAAAAATTGAACACAATCCAGCCTAAAAAGAGACTTCAATAATTCATCTGAAAACTAGATCTCTGTCAACTCTGCAGCTCTACTGCACATTATGCTCAGTAAAATCAAGCCCCATTGCTTTCAACATTACATAACTAAGCCTTGATCCTGAAAAGAATTGCACACACTTGAACTGGCAGGAGTAAATAATGCAGAATTACAAGACTAGCATATTTGGAAAACTTAAGTGATCATTGTAATCAACAGTCACTTTGGCCAGGTCCTGTGTCATCTCTGGCGACAGGTAACTTTAACATAGATATCTCCTCCTCTAACTGCCTAATCCTTTTGTCCTTCAGTGATATCTGCTCCTTTAGGCTGGATATCTCCTCCAGCTGTTTGAAATAGGCTTTTCGCAGCTAAAAATAAACATTGGCAATATGAGTTTATGCATCTATGACCTATGAGAATGGCAAAGGTTTCTATACATTGTATTTCTAAAGTTAATTTGCATAATGTACACAGACTGAAATATTCTTCTAACTAATGACATAAAAACATGCTTAATCTATATCAAGATGTCCCTTTCCTGATTTAATTAAATGTTCAACTCATCCATTGTGAAAATCTCCTTCCACTGAAACAAACCTATATGGAAATACCAATTTGTTGGCAAAGTTTCATTCTTATGGTGCAGGACATGACACACAATAACATATATCAACAGTTAACATACATGTAAATGCACATTCATTGTCATTCATTGTTAGTAAATCTTGGTTATATACAAATGAGCTTTAACCACACCCTCTTAATATGCCCTTCACATTAAAGTATTTGCTGTTTCTTGGAGACTAGATTAATTCATGGACTTTGAAGGAGTTAACTTTCAATCATACGCACACTTTTTCTCCTTCAAAAATTTGCCTGATGTATAGGAGCTCTTTTGTATTGGAAACACATTAAGGGTATAAGTTGGGGTCAATAACATACTGATACCCACATAATAGCCAAAGTACTTTGTAAACTTGATTTTGATGGTAAAAAGGAGCTTGACGTAAGGGAGTCTTAGCATAAAACAAGGTATTGATCACTTTGATCAAAAATAAAAATGAATTGTGATAGCCATAGCTGTATGAGGTAGCATTACTTAATTGTTAAATTTAAAAATATTTTACCCAAAACTTTTGTGAGAACCGGACTACATGTAAATCAAACTTCCATGAGAAAGAGTCCATCTAAGGGATGATACTCTTAAAAGTATCAAATGAATAAAGCCTATTTGCCTGATTTCTTACCTTTAACATGTTTAATTATTATCAACTGTAGTCAATTCACTTGCTTTTAGGAAAGTCCTCGGGACATGAATTCTTAGTGCCTTATAACCCTTTTCTTTATTGACTGTGAAATCATTTATTTGGGGGGGGGGGGTGTAATTTTTTTATTGTTTCTGTGGTATGAAATGTCCTCAAAGAAGTGTTATGTCCCCTAAGAAGTGTTAATAATAAGTAAATTTCAAGTAAACTGCATACTTCTTCAACCATGAAATCAAATCTACTTGAACCAATGTTTTTTCCTCAGATCTTGAAAATTTGAACCCATGAAAATAAGTGATTTTACAATATACCATAGAAAATAGTGTACTATCCACTTTCCTAATTCTTGAGGTTTAATGCACCCTGATATGGATCTTAGCAAAGCCATTGAATGTGTTTTCTATGGTTTATATGAGAAAAGGTTTTGATAGGCCATGGATTCTGTAAGGAAAATCATCCTGCAGATTCTTAATTTAGTCCATTTTATTTTCAAGCCGATTGAATTCTTTTAAAATCTTGTGGTGATCAAATGCTGAGGATCCTGACTGAAAGTACAAGTCTAAGACAGCTAGGTCAATAAAACTGAATATATTTATCTTTCAATACTGAATCACATTATTTTTAGACAATCCGGTAGGTAATAGTTCAACCAAGTTATTTTGCTTTTCCTGCAGCTACACTAAAATTTGTTAATTCGGACAATCCGGACACAACTGGTTCAATAGAAATTGGCCATATTAGACAACATTCTGGATTAGAAAACATTTTCAACAATTGAAATTAAAGAAAGGGATTTAAAGTTTACATTGAATTTATGCAAGATTTTGGAATACAACACATCCAGATTAGACAAGTTTCACTGTATATCATCAAATAATTTTAAGTCAGTTTTTGTTCTTATTTTATTGAAAAGGAATATCTCTTTAATAAACCAGCATTAACAGATATGAAGATGTATATATACTCCAGACTTACTAATTAATATATGAGTTAAAATATCTTTAAAAGCTATCATGCAGTGATATCAAGACTCTATTATTATTATATAAATGCAAATACAAAGACATGCATTAAGGGATCAAAAATTTAAATTTTCATGTTTGTGACACTGCATTCACATTGATTATGTATTAACTGATTGTTCCTTCTAGCTTGCAATTCACTGCACACACTATCATTCATAATCATCAACAAAGCCTGTTTTAAGTACACAGATATTTTTGTTCCGGTTGAATAAAAATTCCTAAATGATGATTAGAAATCAGGGGCTTTTTTTTTTAAAATTCTATCACAGATTATCTGAAGAATATTTTGTCAAAAATGAAAATAATTTTGTTGATCCAATACAACATGGACTATCCTATACCCAGTATCTCTGAGTATGTTTCTCCTAAGGGTGTGGTGAAAGGGGGGAGGAAAAGAGACAGAATGGTGAAAAGCCAGGCTTTGTTGCTAAAAAAAAACTACTGTTTGATGTGTCACACTCCATTCATTGCAGGAAGAAGAGGAAAAGGCATGAAAATTTGACACACTGTTAATTACCAACTACCCACCTCTGCTTCGTTGGGTGGGGAATCCCCAAACCACAGTGGTGATGCGGGGGTTTGTGGGGCGGACCACACCTTTTTCACGTGAGTTACACTCTACAAAGCACAGAAAACAGTTGCCATGGCAACCAAAGCAAATTGAGTAAATAATGGTGTACACACAGAAGCAGAAGACAATTATAATTAAACAGAAACAGAGAAAAAAGACAAATAATGATACGAGTTTTGTGAATTTTTTTCCCTTATTTAATTTCCAATACATGTTAACTAGTAAAGAGAATAATAAATGTATAAAGGAAAAGCTTGTTTTTCTTACAATTTAAATATAATAGTAAAGTGATCCTAAAATGTATAAAGGGAGAGCTAAACTTGCTTGATTATAATATTAGAAAATTAATTCCCAATTAACATTTTCAGTGGCGGATCCAGGAATCTTGAAAAGGGGGGGGGGAGGGGCGACCAGTTTGGGGTCGGGGTATTGGCCCACGGCCACACCCCAAAAAATTGATTTACCGGTATTAAATCTTATGTATTTATGTATATTTTGGATGCAAAAGGGGGGCCCGGGCCCCCTAAGCCCCCCTTCTAAATCCGCCAGTTTGATTTTTTTTACTTACAGTATTTTTGCTGACAAAATACAAATTTGATGAAAGTAAGAAATGCTTTGTGTACATGCTGTGTTTCTGAGTTGCAAAATATTTACCTGTCCTTTATACATTTAAAATCACTTTTATCACTTTTAATTTCTTTAATAATTAAGTTTCAGCAATAGAATTTTTAAGCGCTAAGCGCAGCGCAAAGTGCTTTCTGTCATCTTAAATCTATTTCCGTTCGCGATCCAGCGCCACTAAGCAAGTTAGATAACTCCACTGGGTTTTCTAAAAATATGCAACTGGAAATCCCCGACTCTCTTTCGGCTATTTCAGTGTAATACTGCGTTACATACAGTTCTAATAATAGGAGTCAATTAGTAAGGTAAAGAGTATGCATGTACATTGTACGAAAATCCACTGTTAGTAGATAGGGGTGGTTCTTATCTCTATACACTGTAGTTCATTTAAAATCGTGTCGGCACATTCCACTCGTGTACCAAGTAGCTAACAATTGCTGCATCTATGGCGCAGATACCTTAAAAACGGTTAATTATATGTCATGTACATATTATTTAGTGATTGAATAAGTACATATTTTTAAAACTCAGATGGGATTTTAATAAGTATTTAAAACTCAAACTGGAATTAAGTTATTTAGTAGAAAATTTCGCATAAAATTGATTTACTATGTACCTACATATGTACGTTCTATATAATTTATATCCATATTAACAAATATTTCTTCTTCTAGACCCTTATTTCAGACAATGTAACTAAAAACAAGTCTTCCTATTATCACCCTTGCACCATGCAGAGAGCTATCAATGAAGTTGATTTTTGCATCTCAGTGTCAATTAGTAACAGACTGGAATGCATTCATGAACTGTCTTTACTTGTGTTGTATTCTATACTTGTAATATGGGTATAAAAATATGATGTAAATAATTCGCAAAGAAAGGCAGTTTGCGTCACGTACACGTAGGGAACGTGGAGGCTGTGTTTTCAACGAATCCACTTAGATAGGAAAACTATTTTCTCTGAAATATTGATGACAAATATTGTGCAATTGTGTGTGCAGTGCGCAAGATCTGGCGGAAAATGCTAAAACCTTAATCAAACGTTCTTAGCAATGGACAGGAATAGCGCTGATGAAATGTTAAGCATACTTGTGTTAGGAACCTAAGAAGAAATAGTTTGGGTAAAGGTGTGCGTGTGTTGCTGATTTGTCTACTTAATCATAGGACTAAGTAAAAACAGAATAAAACAATGTTGCATACTTTCATAAAGATTTATTCATACTTGAGATTAATATAATGTCTTTTCTTTCTTGGGCTGTTGAATTATTTATCATGGAATTAGCAGAAAAATTACGGGTCAATTATTTTCAGTACTAGTATTCCTTTTTAACACACCAGTGCTGTGGATATTTTTTCCCTCTCAACATGTTTTGTGTGGTAGTTTATTTCATACATAAACAAGTAAAGATTGGTGTAAAGTATCAAATATCCGTAAAAAAAAAAATACTGAAGCATTTTAAGTATTTCAACAAGAGTCCAAAAATTACTTTTGGGGTTTTAATGACATAGTTTTATTCCGAAGAAGAAAAGTATAAAAATTTTATTTTAAAAAAGTAAAATTTACAAATCAGATACATATATTGTAGATCAACAGAAAAGACTAATTTTTTGATGCAAATACATTATAAATCATGTACATGTATATGAAAATCAGATGTAAAGGATAGCTTTGAATGTGTTATCATCAAACGAAGAAGACAAATATAATATCCTTAAAATCAAAATGTATATTTACCAATTATCTCTGACAAAATGACGTAAACTCTACGGGTGCTCATTTAATAGATTTTTTTCACATGATGATGCCGATATGCTGCACAGCACGATGAATGTGAAGTGTAAAAATTGTATAATGCACAGCTGTAGCACATTCAAAACAAAATGAAATATATAGTCTAAGTTTTATTTATCATTAATAAATACCGGACGCTCGTAGCGATTGTGTAAATATCTTACACACTCCATTAATGTTTTTCTTGTAAAATCCTTTCTATAGATTCGTAAATTTAAAAATCGCTCATGAATATGAAAAAAAAGAGATATATATACTAAAAAACAATTAAGTGAGAATACTAGTATTCGATAGTTTTTAGATCTTTAATTCATAACTTTAATAAAATATGATATCAATAAGGAAATATTTTATTTCTAACATTTTTATTTTTTTTGGAGCACTTTCTAAAATTAATTCACAATCATAAACAGCCATCTTCAATTTGAAACACTCGTGAACATGGAATGAATTATTAAAAATTATCACCAGAACATTTTAGCTATCAGTGTTGCACATTAATGAGAGGAATATCAGCGACATTTTCAAGTGTTCAAAATTATTTAAAAATATACATTTTCCAGCAAATGTATAGCTACATTTATAGTCTAAATTTGGTTGGAAAACTCGTCGAGCAACCCCCCCCCCCCCCTCCAATGAATTGCGATTTATACGCAAACCTACCTCTTATAGACTCCTATAAGGTGATGGAGAACAAAATATTTTTACATGTTCTTTTTTTTCCTTTCTTTCTTTTTTTTATTAGGTTTGAGAAATACATTACTGTTTGGACTACATGTAGATATCTGTTATTTAAGGCAGATTAATTTGCCCTTATACCAAATTAATCTCATTTAATTGACGGAAGCACATTACAATGTCGTTAAAACTAATAGTGGAACGAATTGGTTATAATCCAAAAGGCAAAAGACTCGTATTGGTACGAGTTGATTAATTGATGGCACTTCCTTTTCCCGCCATCCAGCAACAGGGTGAGGCAGGAGATCCACATCAAAATTATTATCGCAATCATCCGACGGAAGTCAAACCCATTTTACACGCTACCTGGACTCAACTATGCCGCCAGTTAGACAGACGATCACCTCACGCTCCAGAAAGGAGCGCGATCGTAATTTTGTTTCGCCGGGCAGAGGGTGAGGAAGGAGATCCAAGCGGTCCACACACGAGGCGGGACATCCCACCTACACAAGACCACGACTTAGGGGAAACCGGACCAGTACTGCAACATCAACGTCCCCAGCCACAGTAACGGTGGCGGAATCAACCCACGAGGCTTACGAATACGAACCCACAGGACGTCGGGAGGGCCAAGACGAGGAGACGTTGAGCAACATCTCGGGTGAGTGTGACATTTTGCTCCCCACAGTAGATGCCTTAACACACCATACAAACAATAGTGAATTCGGTGGCCCCCCATTTAGCATTGCGGATTACCAACCTGCTCAAACCCCCAGTTCTTTAGATCCCATTAGCGCCCATGTTCCACTAAAAATTAAACAAAAAATTTGGGAGGGAAAATTTGTCGATCTATCCATACTTCTAAAATCGGCGCGGGAAATCTCAGATCACTTAGATACACAAGGCCAAATACAAATACGCAACGGCACAATGTGCCTTGTGAAGCATAAACCCCGCACCTTTTTGTCAATTGAAAAATGGACTTCAGCCTTCATCATCTTCACAAGTATTATGTTAGAAAAATATAGATCTAGAGCCCAAGAATTTTTGAAATATATGAGGGATGTAAGAATGGCAGCAGACAGATCGGGGAATGGTTGGTTCACATATGATGAACAATTTCGGCTTCGCAAAGTGTCAGACCCACACTCGTCCTGGGGAATCATAAACTCTGAACTCTGGTTGATCCATGTCACCAACAATTACACCATGCAGGCCCAAGAAAAGCCCATATCTCCCACACAAAATTTTTTCCCCCAACATAAACAGCCCAATATACCAGCAGCTAAGAAAAATGTAAATTCAGCACCCAATCGTTACTGTTATGATTTTAATTCAGGCAAGTCATGCAAATTCTACCCAAATTGCAGGTTTGTCCACTCGTGCAATTCATGTGGCGGATCACACCCCTCAATCAAATGCAGGAATAGAAATACACGATTCTAACGAGGATATCAACAGTTTAGGAAAAACTCCAATTGATGTCTACAATTTGTCTACTTATCTACAAGGTTACAGTGCTAAATCTTTTCTCATAAACGGTTTCCTACATGGTTTTCAACTCCAGTACAATGGCCCAAGAATTTACAGGGAATCAAAAAATTTAAAAAAAAGTGCTATAGTAAACCCCAGTATAGTGGAACACAAAATACATAAAGAACTCCTGCTCCAGAGGGTAGGGGGACCATTTGAATACCCACCATTCCCATCCCTTCAAATTTCACCATTAGGACTTGTCCCCGAAAAAGATGGAGATTTTAGACTCATCCATCACCTGTCCTTCCCAGAACATCAATCGATCAATTCCTTTATAGATCCAGCTGCATGTTCAGTACACAACGCATCAGTGGACGACGCAGCAGCCATCATCTCGACACTGGGGGCAGGTACTTTATTGGCTAAATCCGACATAAAATCTGCATTCCGGCTCATTCCTGTGGCCAAAAATGATTTTGA